TTTCAGCACGTTTTTCTGTTCAGTGTTTGTTCTAGATGATTAACCTCAGTAGTGCACGGACTAAATGTGGGTTTCAGCACGTTTTTTCTGTTTAGTGTTTGTGTTAGATGGTTAATCTCAGTAGTAAGCGGACTAAATGTAGGTTTCAGCACGTTTTTCTGTTCAGTGTCTTGTTCTAGGTTATTAACCTCAGTAGTACGCGGACTAAATGTGGGTTTCAGCACGTTTTTCTGTTCAGTGTTTGTTCTAGAAGATTAACCTCAGTAGTGCACGGACTAAATGTGGGTTTCAGCACGTTTTTTCTGTTCAGCGTTTGTTCTAGATTATTAACCTCAGAAGTACACGGACTAAATGTGGGTTTCAGCACGTTTTTCTGTTCAGTGTTCTAGAAGATTAACCTCAGTAGTGCACGGACTAAATGTGGGTTTCAGCACGTTTTTCTGTTCAGTGTTTGTTCTAGATGATTAACCTCAGTAGTGCACGGACTAAATGTGGGTTTCAGCACGTTTTTTCTGTTTAGTGTTTGTTCTAGATTATTAGCCTCAGTAGTACACGGACTAAATGTGGGTTTCAGCACGTTTTTCTGTTCAGTGTTTGTTTTAGATGATTAACCTCAAGGAATACACATACTAAATATGGGTTTCAGCACGTTTTTCTGTTCAATGTTTGTTCTAGATGGTTAACCTCAGTAGTACGCGGACTAAATGTGTGTTTCAGCACGTTTTTCTATTCAGTGTTTGTTCTAAATGATTAACCTCAGTAGTGCACGGACTAAATGTGGGTTTAAGCACGTTTTGCTGTTCAATGTTTGTTCTAGTTGACTAACATCAGTAATACATGGTGTACAAAGGTCATTCTGATAAAGAAACTTAAATTGTATCATTTAAAAAAAGCATGGCATTTCAAAATTTCTATGTATCTCTAAGTTAGAGAAAACTATCAACGCACATAACTTGATAATAAAATATAATAGATTGGGAAATATAAGAAACCAGCAAGTTAAATTTACTGACTCCCAGACCTGAACACGAATTTTTAAGAAATGAAATAGCAAGAATTAATTCTGTTATTCAACTAAACTTCAGTAATTACGAATGTAGTGTTTGAACGTAAGTATAGAAAAGTGGTTAGTTCCACGCATGTTGGCTTTGAGTCTTTTTTCTTAAGTAATGGCTCTATAGTTTCTCACAGACCGCTTCGTTCCTGCATGTTGTGACTCTATAGTTCCTCACAGACCGCTTCGTTCCTGCATGTTGTGACTCTAGTTTCTCACAGATCGCTTCGTTCCTGCATGTTGTGACTCAATAGTTTCTCACAGACCGCTTCGTTCCTGCATGTTGTGACTCAATAGTTTCTCACAGACCGCTTCGTTCCTGCATGTTGTGTCTCTGTAATTCCACACAGGCTACTTTGCTCTTGCATGTTGTGGTTCTTATATTTCCTCACGAGCATCTTCGTTCTGGCATATTGTACTTGCAAGTATTGGCTCTATAATTCCTCGTAGGCCGCTTCGTTCCTGCATGTTGTGGCCCTATAGTTCCTCACAAGTCACTTCTTTCTCGTTGTACTTGCAAGTATTGGCCCTATAGTTCCTCACAGGCCTCTTATTTCTTGTAGTACGTACCACTTAATGACGTTTCAATATATTTACAGTGTGAGGTAAAGCAGACTACTGAATGTAGTTTATTTTTAGCGTCGCTTCTCTTATAATTTATAGAAAAGTTATCGTACATTCTCGTACATTTTCCGAGTTCTTTATATTTCATTCAGATAGTTGGATTCGTATACCATATGCTTTATTTTCAGCTTCAAATAACATTAAATTATCCAATACAACATTGTATAACTTTAGTTTTCAGTTAATATATTAAACTTTTATAGTGAAGTAACTTTTTTATACACGAACAAATTTTCACATTTGATTCAGAGTTGTTTGCAGAATTCTGTACAATCTATATATTTGTTCTGTTGACGAATATTGATTTGAAATATTCTAACCGAACATAGTTAATTCCCCCTCCCCGTTTAGAATGTAGAAATTGATGGCATTTCCAAAAACATTTTTTGTTGTTTGTTTACCTAAGTCTTTGCTTATGTTAGACTTTCACTAATACTGGCTGTTATACACGAATTACAAGTTTCTCAGAAAAATTCATGAAAAAAATTCAAAACAAATTATTAAGAGTGACGCTTTTCTTAGGAACTAATCTGATGAATGAAAGTCGATGGTCTCAGTTGAACTCTGACCTTTTATTCTAAACGAAGCCACATAGTTTGAAACCACTTTCTATGATTCAACAAAATCATACATTATATAAAAGAAAATCAATAACTACTTATGTTTGTAAAAATAAAGTGTTGGCAAAACACTAAATATAGCATTAATGAATGCAATATTAGCGAAACACAAAACCTAATTTTATTAAACTAATTCACTGTTAGTGGAACATTAAAAGATAATTTTTCTGGTTTTTATTGTCCAGTTGTTCGATCTTGTGGATAACATA